ACCAAACTGACTTTATTGAACATGCTATGACCTAATATGAACAATAAACTGAATTTAAACCGAAATTGCTGAACTAACTCTTTGACCCTAGCACCCGGCCGTGGCGCGCTCGCTACGTGCGACGCCTACGGCCTTCGGCCAGTCCTCGACCAAACTGAACATTACTGAACTCAACCTGTCCTACATGAATGTACTTATCAAATATGACCTGAAAATGCTACAAACGCATACTGAACATGAAAGGACCGTGGCGGGCGCGCCGTGCGCCGCCGACGGCTATACGCCGTCTCTCGGCCACAATCCCTATTCACTCGGCAACTTCAGAACCACTCAACATGATCATTATACTGAAGCAATTTAGAACATAAACACACGGACAGAACGTGATGATTACTGAAATCACTAAGACATGGACCGCGGCCGCCCGTGGCTACGCGCGATAGGCGCTAGCGACGGCATGGGCCATTTCATCGACAATACTCCACTTTGCCTCGACAAATCTGATCATACTGAACATGAAATAGACTAAACTGAACATTTAAACATCAACAGTTCGAGAGTTGCCGGGAAAATCGAAAGTTATGCGGTTATGATTTTACTTAAACATGATCGGCTTTAAGCATGGTTTTGCTTAAAATTCACGCACATGATCGAACAATAGACCTTATCATGACCTTAACAATATGATTATAGGCTGAAGAAGGAATTACCTTTCCGATCAGTCGACGGAATTGGAAAAATAGGGCGTGATCGTATGCCTTGAGTACGCCGTGCGATTGTGCTTCCTTTGCCGTGCGGTTGATAGAAAATTATAAGGAAATTGGGAAAACTTGGATGAACTTATTGTTGCTGAAAGAGGTTAAGGTATGCTGAAGGTGATAGTCACTCTTAAGGGGAAAAACGTGAGGAAAATTGGTTCAAGGCCCTCCTTTTATATTCATGGCCGTGAGGATGGTGATGATGAAGGCTTGATGTGGCCACTTCTCCACTTGAAACTTGTTTGAACCTTACATGCTTTGAGATGACTAAGCACCCTCTTGACTTGACAAGTGGCATGTCTTGGATGAACAAAATCTCATTTCCTATAACTTAAGAAACTCACGGCCTTAATGTTGAGTTTGGGACAATAACCTTAATTCCTCACGGCTAATATGACTTAACTTGTGATTAATTAACATTAATCACCTATTTTATGTTTAATTATTTAATTAAACATAATGCTTAATTACCAAAATTATTCCGAACGTAGACGGTACGTCGGAAATAAATTTCGATAATCTCGACTGAACTTAATTAATTCTGAAAATAATAAACGATAACATTATTATATCGGAATTAAAACATAATTTATACTGATAAAATATCGGGATATTACACTAGAACTCGACCAGATTCCAATATCTACAGTCT